CACCTTGAGACTTAGTCCTTCTTAAGGAAGGTTGACCCCCATATTCTCTCCCCTCACATTCATCCACTCTCATTCCACTCTTGTGCAATTTTCGTCCAAGTTCATTCATCTTCTTCTTAGAACCCTTCCCTTCAACTTGCAAAAGTTTGGCTCGGAAATATCTCCCCAAATATCTACCGGAGATCCTCCTCGCCACTCGCTGCCGATGCGCCGCGCCTTTCCTCCGCAACCTGCACCACGTCCGGCCATCATCCACGGTCCAAGGAATTTCGCGAGGATCCCTAGACGTTCCCCAACGCCGAGCAAACCACGCGCCCATACTCTCCTTTCTCCCCTTGGTGTTTGGTAGATTGTTGAACTGGTTCATGTGTTGTAGTTGAGATTATTTCGGTTTGTTGGTTTCGTATATTTCATTTTTTCCATTCATGATTTTATCGTGGGATTTGGAACTCTTGTGGTGTTATCGTTGTGTTTAAAATCGTGTAATAATCAAACCTTGTTGCTGCATTTAATCTCATGTGATTGCATGGTGCTCACTTGATCTAGTGGTGATGTTTATGATATTGAGATTTGATGTTGAAATTCCATTGGGATTTACATGTTAAATCATGTTTCTGTTGTTCTGTTGTGCCTCCATTTAGGCCATCAGAAACCTGTTATTTGAAGTTGTAATCTTCATATGAAATGTAGTATTTTCGGTTGGCTTTCTCTGGGATTTAGAATTTCATAAATCCGATTTATATCGAGTGGGATATGATTTTTACAAAATTATTGCGCGAACAGTTTCTGTAAAATCCCGGCAGCATATGTGTTAAATATATGACCTGTTTATTGTGTCTTAACGTGCTCAATTGAGTTTGTAATATTCATAAAAGTTAAGGTCTATTTCTTAGCTTTCTTATGAGATAAGATTCATGCTGATATGATGTATGTGGCTTGAGTTAGGTTAAATTGAGTTAGGACATGCATGATGTGAGTTTTGAACTTTTGGCAGAAAACTTTACACTATCTTAATGACCTTATCTGCTTTTGTTGTAGGACTGTCTCTTAGCTTTCTAAGCATGCAAGAATCATGTCATTTGAAGATCTGTAGCATGATTTAGATGATGAATAATGAATTGCTGTTTATATCATAAATTAGTCTCTAGCAGATTTTGTGAATCAAATGTTTTGTGTTTAAACTCATTGATAATGTCATTATTTTTCAATTTAATCTTCTGCAAAGTTGTAGATATTTGAGTTATCTGCCATGTGGTTTTTGAATCTCATTAAAAGGATGTATGTAGCTCTAGTTATCTAGCAATTACTGAAGTCAGGTCATTTGCATGTTCTCAATTTTTTACTGTAACTCTATTTTGGATGTTTGCTAAACTATCACCTGCTAAATGCCGTTATTTGTTTTTGAGTTCTGCATAAAAGTTGTAGATGTATGCCTTATGTTTAATTTGAGACTTGAATCATGTTCATGTGAATTATGTGTTGAAAGTTATGTTGATTTTAAAAACGATGCGCGAGTTAAGTTTGGAAAACTCTTGTTATATGTTTGGAAATGAAGTGTTCGTTTTGCATGCATGCTAACATGACTTATGTGAGCTGAGTAGATTGTTAGATGGCTTTTTTGTGTGTTTTTCCCCTTTGGTTTGAGTCGAGTCGAGTCGAATGTTTTATAATTCCACGAGAATTTCCCACGAGCCACTTAGTCGACGTGTTTCGACTAAGTTTGTGTGATCGTTGGATTTGTTGTAATCGATAGGTTATCTTGATTTCGTGTAGGTGTTTCTAGGTGTTGACCTAAAATCCTATCTTTTCGAGCCTTGTGTGTGATATATCGCTGCTTTCAGGTGGATACATTTACATTGTGTCTATTCGCACTCGTTATTTCGTATAAATGTTCGTCTCACAACACAACATTTACGAAAGAGAGTTCCTATTCCACGATATATCCACGAAACACAACACAACGAAAGAAATCGAGAATAACCATCCGCAACCAACGTGTTTTGATCAAACGAACACATAATCAACCAATAATTTCAACACGAGAAAAAAAAAACAAGAAAATAAATAAGGTTCATCTGATTACCTTCCTTCGAGGATTTACAAGCTCGGTCGGTGGCGGACCAAACAAACAAAAGAACTGACACTCCAGGTACGGTTCGAATTTGCTCGAACATGAACGGAAAGGCAACTCGACGTCTGCTGCGTGAAATCCAACGACAAACGGTGAGTGAACACGTCCAGCTATCCCTCGTGAATGACTAAAAACGAAAGACGAAAGGCCTCAGACGGTTCTCGGCTCTCGGCTAAGGGTCTGCCCGCCTCTCGGTTCGATGACGAACCAGCTGGCGGCAGGGCTGCTGCTACTTCTCGACAAGGGGCTCGAGTTACGACTGTCGTTGTTGGCATCACAAAACAACCGCCTAGCTAAAGAAGAAACCGGCCACTGCTCACTGACAAGGACGACCTCGATGACCGCTGCTGCTTCTATTTCGGTCGGGAACCTACTGCTCGAAAAAAGAAAATCGACGGCAGTGGCTTCGTGAAGTCGCCGACGTGAATAGAGGCTGCTGCTTCCATTTCTTCTCGCTATGAACTCACGGCAGGCCGCAAGCTGTTCACCACGTGCGTGAATGGTGTGGCCGAGAATAAAAACTAGCGACGGTTCGGCTGATGTGAACAAAAGCGGCTGACGGTTTTTGGCTGAGGAAAACTCACGGTCGGAGGGATGAAGATGCTGAGGATTTGGGTTGAGTGAACGGGCACGACCTCTATGGCTTCTCGAACAAGATCAACGCTGCTCTGATGGTGGCTGAGATGAGAGGACGCCGGATATCGAGCTTCGATCGCTGGAAACAATGGCGCCTGAACTTGCAGGCGACTACTATTATATTATTTTATTTTATTTTTAAAACGAGGACTACAGCTGCTACGAGGGAGAGAGTATTTGAATGCATCTAGGGAGAGACGTATTGTTGTGGCCGAGATACATGAGGCGGATGGGCGAGAACGGGCGAGGAAAATTCTCAAAAAGATCGCAACAGAAATATGAACGGGACGACTCGGTCTATGAAGAAGAAAGAGGAACAGGCCGTGAGATTTGAAAGAATTACACACATAGAACTCTGTCTATGGATATTTACATATATATAAGTGCTGCAAAATATTAATCAAAACAGGATGAAAAAGTGAATTTTATTTTATTTGTACGAGATTTTGATTTCTCTCACCGTCCGTTTATCTCTCTTTCTCTCTCTCTCCCTCTCTCCATATATTAATCATGGCATTAAGATAAATTCACGCATGAAAAATGGTTGCTTCTCTCTCCAAATCTGTTTCTCTCTCCAATTGTTTCTCTTTCCAATAAGTCTATTTCTCTCACAAAAATAAAAACTATGCCATTAATAAAAACCATGCCATTGATGATAGCTACAAATTCATTTCTATCTCCAAAATTCGTTGCTTTTATTTCCAAGAAATTTGTTTCTCTCACCAAAAATAATAACCATGCCATTAATATGCCCGTCAAAATATGAGTTAGTGAAATTGATCGTGAAAATATGTTCAGATATATTGTATATATACAGAAGATAAACAACATATAATCAACGGCATGTAAATTAACCGTATAGTTATGCGTAAGATAAACAATATATAAACAATACTAAAACGAGATAGAACACAATACACAATTTTAAATGACTGCAAAACCTCCTTTGATATCAGGGATTGGAAAGCAAAAAAAAATCAGATAAAATTGTTCTTTGTGAAATCTCCTTCTATTAAAAAAATTCAGATATACTATACATATACTGCATAATAACCACAAAATATGTGTTCAGATATATTGTATATATACATCAAATAAACACGATCTGACAGTTCTCTAATATTAACTATATAATTATACATAAGATAAACAACATATAAATAATTCTGAAACTGTGTAAAAACATAATACACCTTGGCATTCAAAAAAATGAGATTAAAAAAATTGAGATTGTAAACAATCGAGATTTGACTTGGCTTGGGGCTTTATGGATATTTACGCGACCAAACGATCTTCTTCACGCGACCAACATCCTCTTGCGACCCAGCCACACCAGCACGGCGATCCGGCCAGCCCCAAAAACATTCCAGCCGCGTGCGCCGGTCAGCACCAAAAAATCCGGCCACTCCAGCACCTGTCTTTGGCCTCTCACTTTCAGCCTCCCCATGTAATTCCCTTCTTTCGACACTGACCTTCGACGGGAACTCCTAAAATCATTTCCTCCTCAATTTCGTAAGATTCATGCTATTTCTCTTGAAATTTAAATTAATTGTGAGAGAGAGTATTGCTATAAAGTTCAAGAGAGAAGAAAGTTCAAGAGAGAGAAAGTGGGAGAGAGAGAGAGATAGAATGGGGTTGCGTTGGGATATTAAATCTTAAGAGAGAGAGAGAAAGTGGGAGAGAGAGAGAGAGAGAGAGAGTGGGGTTTTGTTGGAATATTAAATCTCAATCGTATTTGTGATGAAAATTTTAACATTTCGTATTTTTAATATTATTTGTCAAACCATTAGTAGAGAGAGTAATTTTCTCGTGAGATTTAACTCCTCTTGGGCCAAGGTTGATTACTTCATTTGGGCCAAATTAAAACAATTTGGGCTCGGAAAACTTCATGTCAAAAATTGGGCTAATAATATTTAATGAATTTTGGGCCATAAATTATAAGCTTGAACTATCAAGGTCCAAATAAAATGCCAAAGAAAAAAGGTGCTAGAATTAAATTACAATTGAGCCGAAATTTTTATATCCGAGGAATATCGAACAATTCGATTGACGAAAATTAAATATAATAATACGACTTATCATATTAACTAGACGACATCTAATTAAATAATAATAAGTGTAACCGAAAACTGTCGAGAAATTACCGAACTATACGCAATTACATTAAATAAAATAACACACAATAATTTAAATAATCAGAAAAATCCATATTCGAACGGGGGCACGTAAAGAGAAATATAAATAATGAGAGAGGGGCCTTAAATAGACATCACACGCATAGGGTTCAGGGCGGTTTAATGTCATTGGGTTGATTTTGAACCAACATGGCCTGGCATTAGGCTCAACATGGCCATGTCAGAAGAGTACGTTTGGAAGTGGTTTGGCTTTAACAGACTTAAGGCTCAGTTCGATTTGGTCGCGAGAAATAATTAAAAACGGATATAAGTTCGGTACACCCGATTAATTTGGAAATTCGAACGACTATCGATAAAATAAAATCGAATGGGATAATCAACATAAAATTGAACGAACTATATATTATATTATTCACTCAATAATATAATATATTAACCATTTAATCAAGGCATAGAAATAATAAAAATAAAATGCCAACAATTAAAATAAAATCGAAAACACCCAATATTATTCGAACGGATTAGAATGAAGATATCCACAAACGTCCAATAGTTACCAACGAGCGTCTTAGTATTTGTCATTACATTCCCCCTTAAGATAATATATATCCCAAATAAATATAGAAAAGCATGCTTAACGTTGAAATGAAACGGAATATGAACCAGTATTTGGATCTTTGACAGCTTTGAAGTTGTCAACGCTCATTCCAAAACGGCCCAGAATGGAATTCCCCATTTCTTTCAATTTTCCTACAATGACACAGTAAATCCACTTTGCTTGAGGATCACTAAAAAGGCAAAGCATATATATCCAACAAGGAAGTTATGATATAACGTTACTACATGTTGCAAACGTATACAACGACAATCACATTACCCACTTCTATGCAAAGTTAGACGTTAAGAAACAATTGCCTGTAGCAACGAGAAAACGAATATGGATATGAAAGGGTGATTAGAGATGAGACGAAAATACATGGAAATAGTAAAGTGAAAATTGATGGCGAATGAAGACTGGATAACATAATGAGAAGTGTAATTCATGAAAAAAATCTAGAGAATCCATCTCTATATGCAAGCAGTTGAGAGTACATCTCAGCTTCTAATTGCAATAATTTAAGGAGTCATATAAATCAAGTGCCAAGTATTCAATCAAAGTTCAATGAAACTGGCATTATGATGATAAAAGGAGCCTAGATACCCCAATAAAAACTCAAGGATCAAAAGCAGGATAAACAATCAAGAACATATAGTACATGCAGCGATAAGGAAACCTTTAGCTCACCAATCATCTCTTCTTTCATTTTCTCTCTCTTTTCATCAGCTAATGGCTTCAAACGAATGATATTTCTCCTTGCTTGGTCATTTGAAGGATCCAATTCTAAGATCTTAGTCATGTCTGCAAGTAAGGAAACACAAAAATCAGAAACAAGAAAAAAACCGAAATCAGCAATAAGGATGAATCCGCCTCGGGAACTACAGAGACACCATGTGCTGATAAAAACAGAAATCCAAATTCAAGCACGCACCCATCCCCGGGAAAATAATATCATAGTCACATAAGTTTGGTGCTAAAGAAGCGTAAATTATGGCCCGACAGCCAAAATTCATTTACAAATCTGGCTAGAAACAACTACTGTAGATTATTTCTTGCTTCTATGAAGTAACTCTGGATGTGGAAATACCAGCAATGGACTCTTCATACTGCTCAAGCTTTTCGCGAGCCTCTCCTCTTCTTAATAGAGCCTTAATGTATGTTGGATTCAGCTCCAACGCCTTGGTACACTCTTTGACCGTCTCCTCAAGTTTCCCCTGAACACATAAGCAGCAGGAAAATAACTTTAGTTTGAATTTCCAGGTTATTAGAATCAGATGGAAATCACATAGAAAAAAAATGTAGAGCACATACAAGAAGATACTCTATATGACATATTGGCATTAGATCTCAGTGGTTTCCAACCATACACCCCTTGTTTCACTGGTGTCACACGATTCCATTTTACTTCTACAAATATCATCTTGATGGAATACAAGATCATCATGAGATGATTAATGGTGGTAACACCGATAGTTTTAGTAGAGAATGAGGTTAGTTTACATTGAGTTTACGCAATTAGGGAAAACTTGATTCTATGTGTAATTGATAGAATTGCAAATTAGTACTTAATGATGTTCAGCCACAATCTCTTTCTCCCCTTTCCCCATCTAATGCTTGAAATCATGATGGTGAATGTACAAATGAATCAACCCACGCAGGATTAACATATTTATTTTTCAGACAAATAAACTAAACCTTTGAAGCTAAATTACTGTCTACTTATAAGTTGTCGCTGTAGTGTTCAAAGGAACAGTTGCCCAGGAAAATAAATTTCCGCAATGATTCGTGGTATACTGGTATTATACTATTTCCTGTTCCCCTTCCCTAAATGACATGGACATATTAAAGCAAATATATGGAAACTATTCCCGACATAAGTGGATAAAACAGACAATTCCTTATAGGTATACTACTTTAACCTCATGGTTAGCAACTTAGCATAAACCCCCCATCCCGCTCACAAAAAAGCCACTAAATTTAAGCGGCCTCATCAGTCATAAATGGTGGACAGGGTTATAAAATTCGATCCAATATTTAACGCAATAACATGTTCAATGTGTATCAATGCGACAATGCCAGGTGGCATGAATGCTTTCACATATCTCAGCAAACTCTGACAGCATCTTCCTCTGTCACTTTACAAAGAACTAATCTGTGAGATGCTCTTCACGCAGCACAATAAGAAAATGCATAAAACGGAAACCTTAATGGGAACTTAATCAATGTGTGGGAGTCCTATTAAATCCCTAATGTCCCAAATTTCAAACCTAGGTGCCATGTTTGAGGGTGATAGAAGAAGAATCACTTGGGTGAGGGATTTGTTGTTGCAAGAAAGTAAGGTTGTATGATTCTGATTTAATTCTGCTTGTGCTCAGAATAGGCTTCAGGTACAAACTCATTCCTTCAGTGATTGGTGGCTAGAAATTGCTTGTGCTCAGAATACCAAAAACATCAAAGATAGGATAAGTTCATCAACTTACCTTCTTTGGTGGCTTTGGAAAACAAGGAATGAGTGGCTGTTTGAAAATAGTTGGATTTCACAGGTTGAGCTGGTAGACAAGGTAATGTTGGAATGGAAGGAGTTCAATGCTATAGTGATTGATGAGTTCTAAGATCTCCAGCAGAAAATGAGAAGACCAAACAGACTGAATGGGAAATTTTATTCGTACGGCAGATTTTTTTTTTTTTTTTTTTTTTTTCTGTCAGTGCTTCACTCCCAGAAGTAGTTTGCAGGTGACCGAGGGTTTAGCTAAGAAAGATGCATATCTGATCAAAGAATGGTGCCAAACCGCCAGGTTCTATAGCACTGCTCTTGCAACTGAAATGGCAAACATTAGATGGCTGCTGGATGAGGCAAGAAAAGAAGGCTGGAAGGAGATAGTGTGTTGGATTAGAAACAAGACTTTAGCAGATTCTTTGAACCAGAGATTGATGTTTGATTTAGAGATCAACGTATTTACCTAGGACATCTTTTTTCTTGCTAGTTTCTTCTCCTCTTGTGTGTTGGTAGTAGTTTCTGATTCTTAGTCTGGTGTTTGTTAGTAGGTGTTGGTCTATGAGCAGGGGTGTTGCTTGTTTACCCTCGGTGCTCGTTTTACGAGTTTAATAGATGGTTTTATCGTTTGAAAAAAAAAAAAAACAAAAAAAACAAACTTAAGTATAATCATGATAAATGTTCTAATGTTCAATCAGTGGAGAAACATACAAGTTTAGCGAAACAAGCAGCTCTGTTTGCATGACATATAGACCGTATTTCACTAGATGACGGAGCATCTGGTGAAACTTGTATAGCAATCTCATACTTGGACAATGCCTCTTCATACTCCCCAGCTTTAAACAATGAATTCCCCTCAAGTTTTGCATCATTGGCTTTGGCTAACCTTTTCTACTTCAAGGAAAGAAAAGAAAAGTCAGTCACAGGCTAAGGAATTGCAGAGCTTGGCTCAAAGAAACAACAGAGAAGAAGAAAAATCAATGAGAAATAACACCAATTATATTTTGAATCAATGCCAGGGCTGCTTGCCTAACTGTTACTCAGTCACAAAAGTCATACTAAAACAGCAAAACAGACCATCCAGAGACAGTACATCGGTAACATGTATTTCTAATACGATCCCACATGGTTCACTTGAATCAATCAAAGCAAATTTAAGCCGCAATTACAGTTCACATATCTCTTCTTTCTTTATTGAATCCAAGTTAACTCGCAGCCCAACATTTGAAGGGAAAAGGAACGAAAAGCTAGCCATTACCTCATTCGCTTCAGTCTCGGTGGTTTCAGTCTTCCCTTCTCCTTCGTTGATCTCACGACTGACATCGTCTACGTTTTTAACACTGCTTAAATCATTACGATTGTCGGGGACATTGTCTTTATCGGAATCATTTAGCTCGGAATCACTGGCAGTCTCGTATCCATCGGAACAGTGCCCCGACGGCGCAGCCGCCTCCGGGTTTGGCTGTGATCTGGAGACGCTTTCACTGGCGGATTCTTCCTCTATCACCGCCATGTCTTATCGGAGAAAAGTAGGTAATAATTTTGAGAATATAATAGTTTTATGGCGATTCTAGAAATACAAAGTCTTCCTGAGGTATGTTTGGTTCTAAAGGAGAGGAGGGATTTTAACAATGTTATGAGTGAATCTATTTATTCAATCGTTCATTGGTCCGACCAGTGATTGAACCGGTGGTATTTAATTTATTAATATTTTTAAATATTTTATATTTTTAAGTATTAAATTACATATACAAAACATTATAAATAGTCAAAATAGAAGCTTCTATACTATTTCAACCACTAAATACAATATAAAATCTTCAAATATATTCAATTCATTAATCTATTAATATATAATAAAGATTAACATAATTTACTTTTAGAAACATTTTCCCCCTAATTTCATTAATTATGCCTAAAAATAGTAAATTAAAAAAAATAATATAATTAATGTACATAATCTTTTTAGTCAAATATTTATTGTTATTACCTTTATTAGTTGAATTTAAATTTAGGATGATATAGTTTTATGGAAACAAATATAGGGGTATTATAGAAACTTTCGAAATTTTTAGTTTAAATATATGGACTTGATTGAGCAATTATATAGAATATCGTTAATCTTTATATCCATATTATATTTCTTATATTGAGTAAAACATAATAAATTAATACTTATGTTATATTTTTCATACATCTTTTTGTTGGCATAGTGAAGTTGCAAGATTATTTTTCTTCGTAGACAAGATAACCAAATATAAAAATATAAATAACATTTATGTGCCGCTCAAAAATATTTTGGACAAAATGTAGAAATGACTTTTAGAAATTACTTAATTAATTTATGGTATAAAGTTGACAAAATTAATAAATCCAATTTTGGTATAAAGTTGATGATTTTATTTTAAGTATCTGATAGTCATTTTTATCTTTTCGTAAAAAATGTGTTGTTAATAATAAATGTCTGATTTTGTGGTATAAAGTGGGTGATTTACTTTTGGTACGAAATGTTCGAATTTAAATAGTATGAATTTTATTTGGAATGGATAGAAGTATATTTGAAATTACTTAAAACAAAATAAGAGCATTTACAATGCATAAATGTTATTATCACATAAATTTTGACAAATGTCAATTGTTTATATGGATTGTGTACCACATAAGATAATTCTTAAGTTCACAACTTTAAATCTAAAAAATTATCTGCGTGCACAATGGATCAAATATAATATTGTCAATTGGCAAAAATAAAAATAAAATTTCAATAAGAAACAAAAAAAATTAATAATAAGATATTTTGAAAATGGTAATAATATTTATCTCTCATCTCTCAATTGGTTGATTAGAATGTAAAATAAAATGTGGATGAACCACATTCTTATAAAATCAAAGTGATGTGATTCTTAAAATTTAGCATATTCGCATAATAATTTGTCATAATATATTGATGATAATTCGACAAATTGATATATTTCTCTAGAAAATTGTCATGATCTTTGAAGAAACATTGGTTAATAAAATTTAAAATTAGTAATTTATTTCTACAGATTAATTGATAATTTTGAATGATAAGGTAACTGACAACAAATCTAAAAAAAATGCGAGATATATAGAATACATATATATAATACATGAAATATATACAAAAAAAGTTTATTTGTGTAGTCCAAATTTAGGTTCTAAATTTAAAGATCAAATAAGTAATTATTCATAACTTATGCTAATTAACTTGGATGCAAATGAATTATTCAATTATTTATAGTTTAATAAATTATTCAACTACTTACTTTTTTTGATTTGGACAGGTCATACGAAAATAAATTCATTATAGTTAATGAAACTGTTGTTATGCGAAATTGTAACAACATAAATGTACACCCCTATTCTGTGAATAATCGGCGTACAATAAATATGAAATTTTTGTGATTTTTGGGAGATGAAGATCTATCCCTTTTTCTTGATTTTTTGGTGTTTCGAGAGGGTGAATTTACTATGTAGAATCATAGCAAGAAGGATTGTGTTAACATAGAATGAAGAATCCATCAGTGGAAGAATGAAAGATAAGAAATTAATGAAGAAGATAACTTGTCAATCCACCGCCTCATTTTTTGGTCATCAGAGAGAGAAGAAAGTAAAGCGCCCCTCAGACGCATCTAATTGCCCATCATA